TCCTCCCTCCATCCCAGGAAGGTCCTGGATCCGCCAACAGGGGACTGTGCTACCATTCAGAGTTAGCTAATGATGGTACCAGTATTGGTACCCATCCTTTCTCGACGGTTCAGCAGTTTCAGTGTATTTTATCCGTTTTCGAGTGGGTTATATGAAAAAGCTAGCTGCGTTTGCTAGTTTTACGTTGTACTGTGCTTCATCCATAGAACTTCGTAAGTCGATAAATGTCGCTGTATACGAGAGCGATTTGGCCAACAATGCCTTCCGCGCAACAGATTTTCCTTTTAGTCTGTCATATTATAATGTAACAAATGGTAATTCAATAAGAAAATGCTCGGCATGTGAAATACCAAGTGAAAGTAATTGATTATAATAATGTGACAAGGCTGCCGCTATTTGTCACTAACTTTTGTATTGCTAGTCAGTTTATTGATGACCACTGCTAGGCCGGTCACTGATGGATTCGCGAATCAGCTTCCTCTCCAAAAGAAATCTGTGAGAAAATGTGACTAACAGTGCTCTTTGTTCTACACGAGCTTTTACCGCCTCAGAACTGGTATTTTGTGAGGATCCATTCGCGGAGGGCGGCTCACCTGATTGAATTCGTCGTATTTTTCAGCATATGACTGTGCCAGATACATGCGCTCCGGAACTGTGAAATTTGGCTTGCGCGTTGATCGTCTTTCGTTGGTCTTACTCGGTGACTCAGCAAGAGACGGCATTTGTGAGCCAGAAGGCGCAGCAGTGACGCTGTTTTGTTCGCTTTTCGTTGTAGCATCGTTTGAGTTCGACATTGCTGCAGTCCTGAAAATAACATTTCACCTTCTAAGTGCGGTAAATAGCCGGACACGCCAAGCAGCAGCATGCACAACCTAAATCAGACAACGACAGGCATACTGTCGTGCAACAGCAAGTTCATGGACTGACACTCATCGAATGGAATAATTGGCCAGCGTACGGGCTGCCCGTGCGAAGATGCGTTTTTTGCTTAGTTCCCCGCAGTTTTTGTCGCTACTGGCATCGGTTTTTTCGGCAAATGCTTCTAGCTAAACAAATTAAGACTTGCCGCCAGAACTGGCAGGAAACACCCTCTCAAAATTTCAGCTTTCTGGTTTCCCTGGCTATTTACCACAGTAAGTTGCTAAAAACTTACTGGAAAAAAACTTTCACGGGTCCGCATGCGGGTACCATGCATACCCGATGTCTGGGTTTGAGTTCGTTGAGACTTACTTGGACGGGGACATCTTAAACTACAGTCTTTTAGCTTTTCAGGTTCTCGAGTTCTGAACTTGCCCGGAGGAAACTTTGGTGAACCCGTACGCGGATACCACGCTTACCGGGGGGCTGAATTTGGGCTCATTAATACCTACTTGGACTGAGAACATCCCCTTAAGATTTCAGCTTTCTAGCATCTCAAATACTCGAGTTATGAACTTGCCCAGGAAAAATTTTGGCGGGCCCATACGCGGATACCACGCTTGCCTGGGGGCTGGGTTTGAGCTCATTAATACCTGCATGAACGGGGAACATCCCCTTAGAATTTCAGCTTTCTAGCTTTTCTGGTTCGCGAGTTAGCTTTACCCGTGAAAAACTTTGGCGCGCTCTTACGTGAGTACTACGCGGGTAAGACCGCCCATTTTGGGGATGGGGGCCCGTACATGCATGTAGATTAAGTCCCCGAAGTTTCAGCCCTAGCTTTTGTCGGTCTCGAGATGAAAAGTCTGTACAGAGGTCCTGCGCACACACAGATACAAACACACAGACAACCTCTCGTCAATATGCGTTTTCCGCATTGAATAGCTGTAAAAAAACGCATAAAAATGTCTGCAGTCTGATTCCCTGGATAGAATGACCAACGAAAATTGTTTTCCCCCTTTCTTGAAATTACTGGACATGGAGGACGAGGGAAAGTGGGCACAGGAGACGTAAAGAAACGAGGGAAGGCGGGCAGAAAGATGAGGCCAAACGAAGGCCACTAAGCAAAGAAAGCATTTGGACATTGATGATTGCCGGCATACGTAGGGCATACATACCCGAGTTCACACGCATGTCTACCCGGGGGATTGGGAGTAGGGGAACGCGTTCAGATGGGGTAGGAGACTGATACGCACAGCGTACATTGGCTGGGGTAGTGCAAGCATATCACAGCGCAAGGACAGGGAGCAGTGCTGGGCTGGGAAGGGAACACGGGCACTGGGAAGGCCTTCCCAGCCCAGGGGGGGACGTGTTGTAGAGCTAGGGAGGATCGCTGCCCGGAGGTACGGGCAGACCGTCACCATGGACATGGACGAAAGGATGGGGAAGGCAGGGAAGATTTTGCTGGGAAGAGGCAGGGCAAAATATCGGGAAAGAGCGTGGGCAGCAGACAGGATGTGATCGACGTTGCCTGCCCGCAAGGGCTTCCTTTTTCCCGGAGCAATTCGTTGGGTATGTATGTGTGTGTATGTTATGCTGTATGTCTCCGTGAGCGTCCCAAGCACATGTCGATTTGCCCGCGTGTGTTGAGTAGTGGGGTGTCGTCCCCCCTCATCCTACACAAGTCAGTGCTGTATTCCAAAAAATGGCTACGG